AAGTGTACATCTGAGAGATGCAGATACACACACACACACACACACACATACATGTATATATCTTGTTAAATAGAATAGCATGAATTATTTTGAACTAGAAACAATGAAAATGTTCACTGTTTTCCAGAAATGAAGCTAATGCAACATCGTTCCTTATGCCCAAATAATAAACTCTTTTGAGTCTCTGTATTGATCCAATCCAGGAAGGGAAAAGGGGAATGATAAAGTTAGCCACAATTATGTCTAGTCATTATAATTTCCTAAATCATGAGTATTCTAGTGCATCATTTCAAGTAAAACTTTGGAGCACTTCCATGCAACAAGGAATGAGTTTCTATACAGGAGTCTATTTCATTTCTTTTTCCCAGTACAGTATATCTATAAATCCACCAATGTCACCTTGTGGTAAAGAGATGATATGCATTCTGAATCACATATTCAAATTCAAGCTTCTACATTTGTGAGCTTTATTTTCTTGATTGTAATCTCTCTGGCCTTATTTTATCATCTGCAGAACAAACACAGTTATAGTCATGTGCCTACTGCTTGGAAGAGCTGTCAAAGTAAGCTACACATAAGAACTTTATACATTGTTAAACAACACACAGTGTAAGAAGTTTCTACTGCTGCAATCATTAGTGATCAATTACATCAATTGGTTAGAGCCTACTGCTTCTGAAGCCAACAACTTTGGTTCATTTCCATAGAGAAGAGGTTTGCTCTTGAGCATCTCAATAGTTTCTTCTGGCTCTCTATCAGAGGAATACTGCTGTCCTTAATGGAATCAAGTATGAATACGCTGAGGACTAAATGCAAATGTTCTGGCCCACTCGAAAATACAACTTAGGGTGTGTGCTCCCTTTAATAGGTATTCAAGAGCATAACAATTTTCTGTAAAACTAAGCTTCTTGAGAATGATAATACCCTAACATTAGATGTGATCTAAACTCATTAGATCATCTAGTTAAATGATTATGATTTACACACGTGCACACAAAGATATGGATTACAACACTCATTTCCAGAGCTGCTGCTAAGTCCATATGTAGAATTTATGACTAACCTCCTTAACTAGGTTCTTTTCTTTAGATTTTACTTTATTTTATATTTTATTCTTGTTATAGAGCACGTGTCCTCATTGGAGAGGAGAGAGACAGAGAGTTATAATAGAGGGAAAGTAAGAAATCACCTCTGGTGGGGATGGCCATGCTGCAATCCCTTTCCCTCTCCTCCTTTCAGGACTTTGGGCACACATGCACACATGCCCAAACTGATTTTCAAGCTGGTGGGTCCAGGTCTCAAATTGTGGTTGACCATGTGGGAGTCCAGTGCCTTAATCACTATCCTGCCTACTGGCCCCTAACCAGTTATTTTTAAATTTCCATTTATTTTCAACATGAATCTCAGTCTGTGGGTTTTTTTTACTACAAGATGGTTCAACTTTTGTTTCAAAAGTTTTAGATCTCTTGTTGACCCTGCTTACATAGGGTTGCTATAGCATATTATTATCTCTTAGCACAGAACATTAAATAGTTCTGGAATAGTATATATTAAAATTTAAGTTGCACCCACATTCTTTCCTGTCTCCACTATACAGTAGCAATCCCATCTCACCTTGATGGTCAAAATCAATCCTATCATACAACCCTGTTAAAACTTTTTTGTTCTGTTCATCTGTTGTCATGAGAAGCTTCAAACGACAAGTGGTAATTTAGTTTCTAATTTAATAGAATTAGGTCCTTCTGTGTCCACTGAGGGGCAGTTCTCTCTCTCGTGAAATAAAAGCAGACATTCTGAGGGAAGATCATTATATATAATAGGAAGAGGTGGCACTCCTACTTCCTTGGCTCCTGTGTCTATTAATACGACTGTGGAGAAAACAGCACAGAAATCAGTTGTGTTTTAGAACATGTGACCTTTTTTCACAGGTGTTGTCTGACAATCATGCAATCGCAGAGACATAAAAAGTCATTCTGTTACTTTGTAGGTAGGGTCAGCAGCTTCGCAGATGTGGATGCACTAAGAGAAAAAGCACCAATATACATCAATATCCTGCCATTGCTTATTCATTCTTTTACTTGTTTCTGTGTTTTATTGTTTGCTGATATAGAGTTCCTAAGTCAATAGCAACATTGTGTGGCATGCTATTATTGGTTTTTTTTTTTTGGTTGTGTTGTGTTGTTTGTTTGTTTCTTTAGGTTTAGCCTTAGAGCATGTGTACTTTCTGGAGAGAGATTGTGAGAGGGGACATGAGAACTCACTTCCCAAGGGGGATGGCCACACTGTGATCCCTTCTCCTCCAACTTCCTCCCAGGATCTTGGGCACGTATGTACATGTGTTCAGGTGATTTTCAAGCCACAGGGTCTGGGACTCAAACCACAGTCACAATTGTTGTTTTAAAGTATGTAGTTTACCTTGTAGGTGAAAAAAAAGCAAAACTAAATCCAGAATATGACTCTTTCACTAGGAATAAACTATTGAGTTCATGATGGTGGAAAGGGTCATAGATTGTCTGGTCTCAGATGATGCCAAGTGAGATCTCAGTTTTTGTATTCTTTTGGAAAGTAAATCAGTCAGTACTTGCATTGGGTGGGTGAGTCTTTTCATGGGGATCAAAGTAGTTGAATCTATGTTATTGTAAGGGTTAATATATTCATGATCTAATTAAGCAATTTCCAGCATAATTGGAAATGATATTAGTTGATATTACTAAGAAGGTCATTTTATCCCCCAGATTATTGGAAGCATTTATTAAAATGGAGTCATTTTTGTAAAGATTCCTATAGGACACAAACTTTCAGAAACTATGGATTAATATTGAGAGATCTACTTACACAAATTTTTCTAAATCTCATGTCATCAGCTTTACTCTTAGGTCCCTAATCATCCTGCCAGAATGAACAAACAAACAAAAAACAAAAAGAAAATATTTGCAATCATTTAAGATGTTCAACCAAGTCAGGGAATGGTATTATAAATTGAGAAGAGTAGCCACTTTTGCCATCAAAGAATTTTAACAGAGAATTGACTTTTTGTATTTCCAGTTCTCTAAGACATCGTATCAGTCACCTTCTTAACAATATAGGCCAAATTCCCCTGAGCAGTATCTTAAATTTCAAATGAGAGGCCACTGTGAGTTCAATTAGCACAATTACTTGACATCCATCACAAGGAAACTTTGTGTCTTGGTTTTAGCTGTCTTAGCACAGAGGCCTCAAGTGATAAGGAACTCCTTCAAAGAAGTCACAGGGGTTTTCTGTGTACATATTACCACCCTTCCTCTATAATAAGGGAATTTGAACTTACTAGTCTATTTATTTAAGTTGTCCAGTCCCACTGTCTCACTGGAGTAAATCATTCTAACTTGTGGTCTTTTTTTTTCTCCCAACCAACTTATCGATCTATTATTGATGTATAAAACCCACCCTGAAGTTTTGAGTTCTGTTTCTCATGTCCATCTAAAACCCTCTGAAGCTTGCCTTCTAGGGGAACTTCCTTCCAGGGGATCACTGATAATAATACCACTGGTTTCCCATTTGGCGTTGTGTGATCTCTTGAGTTGCTGGACACCCATCCCTTATTTTAGTTTAAAAACTTAAAAAAAATCTTAAAATTGTTAGATTTAAATTTTGTTTGACTTTAGGTTTTTTTTTTTTTTTTTTGAGAGATTTTTCACTGTAGGGCGCGTGCGCTCGCCAGACAGACAGAGAGAGACATAGAGACAGAAAGCGAGAAATCACCCCCCAGGGGGGATGGTCACGCTGCAATCCCTTCTCCTCCATTCTCCTCTTGGGATCTTGGGAACGCACGCACACGCGCCCGGCGTGAGTTTTAAGCCACCGGGTCCGGGACACGAACCGCGGTCGACTACGTGGGAGTCCAGCGACATAGCCATTACGCTAACTGCTGGTTCCCAGTTTGACTTTAGTTTTAACCAGTCTCAATGAACAGATGCCAAATTGTCTTCATTTCTATGAATATTTTTGACTTGCAATTTGTTCCATTTTCTATGTTGGCATTCTTGGATACATCAAAGAGAAAAAGTACTTAACAAAAGAATATGGGTAACTTACAGATCATCCAAGAATGTCACAGAATTAGGCATAAGATATAGGCAGGAATTAAAAAACAAAAACAAAAACAAAAAACAATAAAAACAAACAAACAGCAACAACAAAAAACAATGGTAGTAGGCGGGAACACAGCGAAATCAAGCCACCAACCAGTCTAATGCCAATAATGTTGATCACTGGCTATTAAAACTTGCACTCTCTTTTTTTCTGGAGAGGTTTTTGGTATAGGGCGCGTGTGCTCACCAGACAGACAGAGAGAGACAGAGAGACAGAAAGCGAGAAATCACCCCCCAGGGGGGATGGCCACGCCGCAATCCCTTCTCCTCCGTTCTCCTCTCGGGATCTTGGGAACGCACGCACACGCTCACGCACACACACGTGAGTTTTAAGCCACCGGGTCCGGGACTTGAACCGCGGTCCACTACGTGGGAATCCAGTGACATAGCCATTACGCTAACTGCTGGTCCCTTGCACTCTCTTTTTAAGTTGACTTATGTATTTCTTCCATGAGATAGAAAGAGAGAATGAGGGAGATAGAAGCATCCCTCAGAGCATCCATGCCTCGATCCAGCCCCAACTGCAGTCAGCCCAGATCACATGCATGCACACACTCAGCATGCTCAGCATCATCACTGTGCCAGCATCTGGCCCTGTGCTACTTTCATCTCCCCACTGGTTTCTAGATATTGCTATTGTAATTTTGATCCTGCTGGTCAAAATTGTTACTTCTAGAATGGTGGCAGGCTCCTCCATTTCTGCTTTTTGGCAAACGCCCAACCTGGGGCCTGCAGGTAGAGCATTTTCTTCCCAAGAGTGATTAGAAACTTCAGTATCTGGTACATTGCATTTCCACAGTACTAGGTAATCTGTGCCTTCCCACCATTTCCCATAGGATTATAGACATTTATAAATAGATTAACTTGTGGTCACTTAAGCAGTATATATACTAAAACTGGAATGAAACAGAAAAGATTAGAATGGCCCCTGCGCAAGGGTAATATGCAAATTTGTGAAGCATTATATATTTTGGGAGCCAGCAGGTGGCATGGTGGTTAAGGTGCTAGATTTTCACATGGTCAACACATTTTGAGTCCTGGACCTGCTGGTTTGGTTTCTCACTTTCTGTTTCTCTCTTGCCCTCTCTCTACCTCTCTGTCTCTCTTTGGTGTGCACACTTACCCTATAACAAATTAAAAATAAGAATAATTAATAAAATTAAATAAGTAATTATTTTAAAAAAACATCTAAGCATCCGTTCTTGTCTGTTTTCTTTTGATCACCACCTGCAAATATCTTCATTCCAGTCCTCTATTTGAGTTAGGAATGACCATTTGAAATGTTTATAGTCAATGAGACATATGCTGAATTATGTCAATGAATTTCTGAGCATGCTTTGTTTCTCCAGGGACTAAAGATAGTCTCATTTGGTTTTATCCTTCCTCCTCTTGCCCTGCTATGAACATGGGTACGGAGGTCTAGAGTTGTAGCTATCATTTTTTGACTGTGACAAGAGTTGGAAAATAATGAAGATGCAAGCATTGATAACATTGAGCCCCTGAGCCACTGAGTCAATGCCAGAGAAAACAAGACCCAGGCCTCTCATAATGTAAGAAGAATGAAATCCTATTTGTTCAGACCTTTGTACACAAGTTTTCTATTACTCAAAGCTCAACACATTCTAACTAGAGTAGGTAATTCTCCAGATCCGAGAAAGCTCAAAATAAATAAATTAAAATAAAATAAATGAAAGTCACTCCTGTGTTTTTTTTTTTTTAGAGGGTTTTGCAGTAGAGCATGTGTGCTCACCATAAAGAGAGAAACAGAGATATAGAAAGCTAGAAATCACCCCTAAAGAGGGGATGGCCATGCCACAATCCCTTCTCCTCCATTCTCCTCTTGGAATCTTGGGCATGCACGCACATGAGCCTGCAGTGAGTTTAAGCCATTCACTGAGTCCAGGACTCGAACCGTGGTAACTACATGGAAGTCCAGTGACATAGCCATTATACCAACTGCTGGTGCCTAGTCACTCTTATTTTTACACACTAAATAAAAGTAACCAGACTCCGATTTCCAAACATTCAAATCTTAAACAGGCATTAAGAGTATTTAGAAATTTGGGCACTTGATATGTGAGTTAATGACAACTTCTTCTAAATATTTTTGGAAGTCTGATTCACAATATATGTATTTTTTATATTGAATTTGTATAGGCTAACAGAGTGCTAATAGTTTGCATTTCTTAAATTTACTATTTATTTCAAGATGAAACACAGCTATTGCTTCATGTTTTCTCATAGCAAATAAGTAAGTAAGACAAAATGTACTTAACAGGTTTTTAAAAAATCTAAACCCATACACAATGGTAGAATGATGACAATAGCAGTCCACCTGTGTGACACTCAGCTAAGCTAATCACAGATTCCCGCACTCTATGTAACAATGGCCAATCTATAAACCTTGTAAAATTCAAATGCTACAAAAGAAACTTGAAATACTGTTGTTTGTTTTGTGACTGAACATTCTAGCTCTTTGCTATCATTGCAGCAATGTTTAGCAGGGTAAATTCCTGTTGGGATCAGACAGGGACAAAAGTTAGCTCGATAGCAGAGAGCCCTCGTACATTGAGAGTGGTGCATAAGGAGAGCTGGGATCTTTTATCAAAGTAAAGGCCAGCCAAGCCCAGCTGACTGTGGCATGCTGTGGCACAGCACTGGATAGATCTTCCCATTTTCAATAAAAGCTGAAAATCCTGACTTTGTGAAGTTGCTTAATGCTTTCTAATTTGACTCAAATAGTATTTAGTTTCTATCTGGATTTTGGGAGAGAGAGAAAGGAAAATTGAGTGAGAGAAAGAATTAGGCACCTCCAGTAGAATCTTTCACTGCAACTCTAGCCTTTGGGAGCTTGGATTGCAGGCAAGCAGGTGTACCCAGTATGAACAGGGACATTTTCAGAGGCAAACCTGGTACCTTCTCATATGCGTCCACCATCACAGAGCACTGTATTATCACTGTGCCACTGTCTGGTCCCTAAAACTATGAAACACTTAGAAAAAAATCATATGTGTAAATCTTTGTGACCTTTATTTAGTCAACAATTTCTATGACAACAAATGTGCAAGACATGGGGCCAGCAGGTGGTGTGGTGGTTATGGTACTGGACAGTCACATGGCCAACTGAGGTTTGAGTCTCAGACCCAGTGGCTTGAAAAATACACTGGCCACGTGTGCATGCATACCCAAAATCCTGAGAAGATAATAGAGGGAAAGGGATTTGTGGTGTAGCTCTTCTCCTTGATCCCCTAAGATGAGTGATTTCTTACTTTCCTTCAGTCTCTCTCTGGTAAGTGAATGCACCCTATGGAGAAAAAAAAAAAATCCACCAAAATAAGCAATCAACAACAGCAACAAAATTAGAGAAATTAAAATAAAATGCATAAAATTTAAAAATTCTTGTGCCTCAAGAACAAATTGAGCAAATGAAGAAGTATTTGCAAATTCTAGCTTAATAGGAAACTTATAATTCCAAAATATAGAATGTAGAATAACACTTATGACTCAGCAATCAGAAGATGAACAGTCATTGATGGGATAATTAAGTAGATGTATCCCACATGGCCAATGGAGTGTTTTAATTCCCAGACTCAGTGGTTGGAAAAATAAGCTGGGGGGAACCAGCAGTTAGCGTAATGGCTATGACGCTGGACTCCCATGTAGTCGACCGCGGTTCGTGTCCCGGACCCGGTGGCTTAAAAAAACTCACGCCGGGCGCGTGTGCGTGCGTGCCCAAGATCCCGAGAGGAGAATGGAGGAGAAGGGATTGTGGCGTGACCATCCCCCCTGGGGGGTGATTTCTCGCTTTCTGTCTCTATGTCTCTCTCTGTCTGTCTGGCAAGCGCACGCGCCCTACAGTGAAAATCTCTCCAAAAAAATAAAAAAATAAAAAAAATAAGCTGGGCACATGTGCATGTGTGCCCAAAATCCCAAGAGGAGAAAAAGGAGAAGAAATTGTAGTATGATCATTCCTTTCAGGGTGATTCCTTACTTTCTCTCTCTCTGTCTTCTGGCAAGCATATATACCCAATAACAATTTTTTAAAAGATTAAAAAATAGACAAGGAATTTGAATAGGTATTTCTCTAATGAAGATATTAAAAATGACAAATAAGCACATGAAGAAATACTCAATGACAGCAGTCATTAGGAAAATTGAAATTAAAACTGTAATGAGATATCATAGCCTACTTCCTAGAACAGCTAGACAATAACAAGAGATGCCAAGGATGGAGTAATGGGAACACTTACATATTGTTGCTGGTTGAGTTGCAAAATGGTATAGTCACTACAGAAATTGGTTTTGATAGTTCCTCAAATTATTATATATAGATTCATTATATGACTCGGATATTATACTTCTAGGTATATATCTGGGGATTAAAACATATTTTCACCAAAATAAAAAAGAACCAAAACTGTACATTAGTTCACAGCAGCATTATAGCTAATAGCCAAGAAGTGTAGAAAACACAAATGCCTATCAACTGATAAATAGATAAATCAAAAGCGGCATATCCATTCAATGGCTATTTCTTCATTCACCAATCAGAAGAAATGAAGGATACATGCAACAACATAGATGAGGATTGGAAACATTATGCCAAGTGAGAAGAGCCATTCAGAAAAGGCCGCAATTGTGTGGTTCCATTTATCAGAAATATCCAGGAAAGAAAACAGAATAGTATGTGCCAGAGATTAGAGCAGTGGGTAATCAATTGCACAACTGTTAGTGAGTACAAGATTTCCTTGTGGAGTGATAAAGATATTTTAAAATTAGAGAGTAATGATGGTTGTACAACTCTATAACTATAAAAAAAAAGTCATTAAAGTGGGGCCAGCAGGTAGCATGGTGGTTAAGGTACTGAACTCCCACATGGGTGACTGCAGTTTGAATCCCAGATCCAGCAGTTTGAAACTCATGCCTAGTGCATGTGTGTATGAGCCAAAACTCCAAAGTGAGGAATGGAGGAAAAGGAATTGCAGCGTAGCCATTCCCCCCACTTGGAGGGAGGGGAGGAGGGTTCTCACTTTTCTTCTCAGTGGCCAGTGACATCTGCATTGCTAGTGATGCAAATGGGGCTAGTTATCTGACATGCATTCACTGTAGATATAAAAGGAGATTATGATGGAAGAATGAATATAGATAGTAAACTATTAAGGAGTGGATAAAACTGTAGACTATGCAGCTCAGTTAGATATGCAGAAAAGCTCTTTCTTTTAAAATAATTTTTATTTATAGAGAAATTTTTGCTATAGGGGCTCACCAGAAAGACAAAGAGATACAGAGTGAGAGAAAGTGAGAAATCACCCACCAGGGGGAATGGCCACATTGGAATCCTTTCTCCTCCACTCTCCTTTTGAGATTTCAGGCATGTATGCACCTGTGCCCACCTTGAGTTTCAAGTCACCAGGTCCAGGACTCAAACTGTGGGCATCCATGTGGGAGTCCAGTGATGTAACCACACCATCTGCTGGCTCTCAAAAAAAACATTTGATATGATTGTGTTTATGTCTCATGAGTAGCACTACAGAGAAGAACCTGAAGGATCAATGTTCTGTTTTCATGTGAATTCATTGATGTATGACTGTTTTCATCAACATATTCTATTTATTCTTTCATCCCATGTCTATACATCTCACACGATCCAGTCAACAATAAGATAGAAACTGATCAAATAGTACATTAACAGTAAAGTATACCTGAGCAACTTCAAATGCCTTCCTAAAATGCAAAAACCACATGCCATATTAGATATATTCTTTTAATATTTATTATCTTATTAATTTTTGCAGAATTATGAACTTAGTATAACATGATTTATTGGCTATAATCTCATGCTGCTTGTTTTCCATGATTCCATTATCTTTGTTCTGAATTATGACTTTATTCATTATTTGTCTTTCATTTCAATAAATAATTAGATTTACTTCACTGCAAGTCTACAGGGTCATTTATTCCAAATGACTTCTT